ACAAGCTGCAATCCATTGATCCTCTTAGTTTATTCATCAGCCTTAGCATACTTGCTCATTCCACAGAGATGGATGTGGTAGCGAGTCTTGGTTCTGCATTTTATCTGAGTTAAAGCAGTCCTACATTGACACAAGACACAGCAGTCCGTACTACAGCTCCCCCACAAGCTCGAATACAGTCATAGCAGCAGCACGACTTTAATATCTTGGCTCAGTTAACTTTTTGCACAGACATGGGTTTTGCCCACTGCTGTGCCATGGCCCTGGGGATGCTTCTAATTTTAGAAGCATGTTTTTTTTTAAGTATCAAAGGAAAAGAAATGAGAAGGATGAAGGAGCAGAGAGGCCTAGAGAAAGGAGAGGGGAGCTGGTTGTGTGTGGCTGGTTAGCTTTGATCTGATTCCCCAGTAGAAAGACAATGCTGTTGTGTGGGAGAGCAACCTTTTTGTATTTATTTACGCCATTTAATCCTTCTGCCCCCCAGGGCAAAACAAAACTGCCTTTCTCCTCTGTTTCCTGCATGTCAAAGAATTTTCTCCTGTCACCCTCAACCTCCCATCTTTCTACTCTATGTTAGATTTCAAGGAGGCTCATTTACTTGTACTGAATTTGTGTTGATACTGTTTCTGAGCAGGTATTTGGTTAAATTCCCCTTATGTATGATATTTAAATGTTGTTTTCAGTTATCTGGCAGACAGCAAGATAGGGCCAAAAAGCATATGCAAAACAGCAGGTAGTTGTCAGACACACAGTACTGTATATCAGGAAGACAAAAAAAAATCTAAAACCATATGAATCTTAATGTGCCTGCAGATCTCTTTAAAATGCCATTAATTTCACTTCTTCTCATTGACATCATCAAGCAGATAATTGCATAGCCCTTGCAGCTCATAAGTACTGTACAGTATTTGTATTGCTCATAGGTACAGCTCATTGGTACTGTACAGTATGTGTATTGCTGTAACCAGACTCTTAAAAATGATGACTTCTGAGACAATTTCATTCCATTGCCTTATAAAAAAATAATTAAAAAAAACACATTTTAGAAGATGCACGTTGCACAAGTAGTAGTGGTACTTCTATTTTTCCTTGAAAGTTGTAATTTCCATATCAAGTACAAACTCCAGCAAACAATGTAGAGTGATTCATCGAGTGATTCATTGGAAACGAGCTGGCAGTATGGTCCTTATTTCGAAGGTTTCCACTGCTGGAAAATAATTACCAGTACCGGTCAACTCTCAGAACTGGGGGCCAGTTAAGCCCATTTAGATCTCTGTGTCAACATTCAGGACGTAATCCAAGTCGGCAGTGTCTGCATGAAGTGTCTTATTTCATTCACAATGAGAGGAGCCACTCTGATAGGATGAGGGAAAAAGTCACTTTTCCCTCATTTCTGCATGCTTACTAACCTAAAACCAAGGCACCTAAGAGCCACAGTGATAAAATACTGAGAAGCAAGTATTGAAAGTTAACTGGGTGCTACATCCTTGGAGTGTGCAGTGTAGGGACGTCTACCAGTGAGAGGCTTGTGTGTGCCTTTATAAACTGAGCACATCTTTTTGCGTCACATTAGGTCTTCATGCTCTCCAGAAGAGCAGAATCCCTCTGGATCTGTTGTGTATAAACGCATCAACTTGCCTCAGCCACTTTGTTTCAGAATAAGGCATACTGTACGTATAATCTGCCTTTATTTGTTTATTCAAGTTCTACTGATGGAATAAGGAGAAAAAAATCTTAATTTCAAAATGAATATCATGTCATTTTGCTATGGACGGTGTGAATGTGTGTTGGAGTTTTTTTCAGCAATTTCATACCAGCATGCAAATGTACGTACCGTAGATTGAATCCATATATAGACTGCAAAGTGGCAAGTCTACCCCCAGCCCCTCCACCACCACCCTTACCAATCCCTACCTCTTTTTATCTTTAAATGTTTTATTTGTGAGGTTGCAAGTGCAGAGAAGCTATGCAGCAGAGTGGAGCTGTAATTAAAATGTCAAGGAGGACGAACTGAAGTAGAGCCCAAGGAGTCTGTGGGGCATAGCTCCAGGCCTTTAGTCATCAGAAGGGGAGGAAAGATGGCGGAGTCTCGGGCTCTGAACACAAGCACACTGGCAGTCTGGCTCAGCACACTGCCATTTCATTCAAGTCTCTCCTGGTTGTGGGTGTGTGTGTGCTGGAGGGGGGTTGTTGGCTGAAGATCCAAATGTTTGATGAATGTAAGACAGCAGTGTAAGTAGTGCAGTCCAGGAGGTGCCTCTAAGTTTCCTGACAGTGAGTTGGAAGAGTGAGGCGAAGATAAAGAGTTCGTATTTGCATGTAACATGGATCAGTTCACACAAGGTCCCAGCCCACTGTCTCGACTTATCTAAAAAAACAATGCAGAAGGACAAATGCTAACCACACACACAATTGCATAAAAAACACATTCATGTGTTATGTGTTTTAGAGTTATATAACTCAGTTTAAGTGGCATCAGCCTCAGGGGTGCAATAACAGTTTCCTAATTTACTCTTAACTCAATTTCCCCAAATTGCACCTTTTGATGTGTTAGGAGTCTGATTATAGCACAGGCTGATACCGTAATTAATCTGTCTCTCTTTGATGCAGTGGGCTGTTTGTTAGTCTTTTGTTAGTCCAATTGTAAATCTGTGCTGGCTTTCTATTTGTATTTATTTTTCAGCAAAGTTTTTTTCAATGAATATGACTCACAAAAGAAACGACCTTGCTCTGTTCTGCCTTTACTGAATCCTGAAGATCTTGTTTTTTATTTACAGTACCTCTGGCGCTTTGGATGTGAAAATAGACACCTACATACATTATTGGCTTTCACACTACATTTATTGACATAATGTTTGTGATCTGTCTTACCTATCAGGTTCTTTGTGCCATTCAGATTTGTGCTTCAAGTGGGAGTTTAACTTTAAGCCCTTAAAACCTCATCAGCCCGGGTGTCAGATTCATCATGTCTGGGTGACAACTTTAGACGTTTGCACAACACAAAGCTATATTAAAAACAAGCAAATAACCTTTAAGTGCACTTTGTAGAAGTAAAAGTGAAATCATGCAACTAATACAAGATAAAACACAGCCCAGGAATTTAGGCAATTAAAGTAAGCTCATGCATACTGCGAGTATGAAAGTAGAAGTCAGTTCTAAGCCTAGATTTGAAAATGTACATACTTTTCTTGTAGAATCTTTCATATATTTTTAATATAATTTCAGGTGTAGTGAGGGCAGTATGGCACAGAAAAGGGTTTCATCTTCTCTGTGACGTTGCCAAGCTTGGAGCTCTAAGATAAAGTTAGCTCTTTATATTCAAAAGAAGGTTTATAAAAATAGGAAGTAATTCTATGTAACAGGTCCTGAAATTATTTCATTTTTCACTTTCACGGTTGTTTGCAACCACAAGCAGGTGCAACAAGCGGAGTTCCTTCTTTAAAAAAGCCAATGGAGAGCATGAGTAGTTTATTGGAACATATGATGCCCCTCACTGACAGGGAAATGCTTCCTTTTCAAAGGACAGAGGAAGAAAGGTCCAGTCCTCAAAGGACACCAAAGCCCAGAATTCATAGGGAAAACTGAACTCTGAATCTGAGAAATCCAGGTATAGATTGAGCACCGTGTACTATAGTGTATAATCGGCTATATGGGCTAACACTACTAGATCCATGTCTGTGTCTTTGTCATTTCCACATCTTCACATGCTTTTAACCCGTGTCAGCTCACAGCTTTCTGACTTTATTCCTGTTCAGTTTTCAGACCTCCAGTTGATTCCCTGCAGATTCACAATCTCTACCCTGTGCTGCATAGTCAGTTTCCTAAGGAAGGGCATTATTCCATGTAGACATGTATCTTCAGGTGTGTCGTCTGATAGGGAGCATCTTCTCATTAGGCTTCTGCTTCAGTGCTTTAACGATTTCCAATGCATGAGTATACATCATGGGCACTTATCTTTGTAAATGCAAATTTCTTCGTGGTTCTTACCCACATTTCATGCCCGCACTTGTCTTTTTTGTTATTTGCCTAATCTTTGTGGATGAGGCCCAGTGTGTTCTGAGAATGGGAGGGACTGAAGTGCTCCTCCCTAGCAGGGTTGTCTGTCTTAAATCCGCTGCTCCGCACACCTGCAGCTCTCACAGTTACAACGTTCTTTGCCTTAATAATAGTATAAATTCAGGCTGTTTGGCTGTTTTCAGCCCTTAAACACATTGGAGGTTGCCTTTTAATTACTGCATTTTATAACCAAATACCAAACAAATACCAAAAATACGAAAAGACTGAGTAGAAAATGATAACTTTCAATTCATCCAATCAAACAACTTCTCAGTCCAGGTATGACTTCACTTAACAATGGCTTGGGAACCCCTCCCCTGGACAGTCATACACACTCTGTCCAGTACTGGTTCTTTTATAATGAAAAATGATTAAGCCTATTTGATTTACCTTTCAATGAAAAAAGCCCAAACCCAAGTGTTTTCTCTCTGTGCCAGCTCACTGTGTTCTTTAATACAACTGAATCACAAAACCATGTTTCTGTTTTCCAAAAAAGCTCGTTTTCAAGCCTAGTGCCAGGATTTTCTGGAGACTGATATTTATAGAAAGCTAGAAAAAGATTTCTGGGGTTTTCCTTTGCAATTTATAGTTTAGAGAAAATTCTGAACTTTGATCATGAAACTGTGCACAAAGGCATGTAGAGCCAACAGCTACCTGTATTGAAGAAACGCAAAACAGAGAAGCCAAGTCATGCAAAACTTTAAAAAAACATTCTCAACTTGTTTTAACCAAGGCAGTCTGTTATGGCAAAAGAGCCTTTAACTGATGAAATATTGTCAATCTCTATTACAGCTAAGTTAGATTGATTCTATCAAGTATTTCCCTTTGGCTTTGTTCATTTATAGTGGCTTAGCATTTCATGCAGCGAATGTGTCAGAGTGACTATTTGCATATCAGGCTGAAGTTAATTTTTAAGATGTCATACTTCCTTGTTGTGTGCAGAGCTGGGATTTTCCCTCCCGGCACTGCTGTGTGCAGGTGCTGGCTTTCAGGGTCTATGGTTTTTCAACAGACATGGATGTGTCCAGGATTCTCTGGTGTACCAAAGAATACACCATTAAAGAGTTTGCAACCAAATTCAAGGACTCTTTTCCCAAAATCATTAAAGTGACACAAGGCTTCCTGGGGAGACAAGAGCTGGACAGTATTAGCTCAAGCACGGTGAGTGGATCTTGGCATTGATGTTTGGCAGACAGTGCTGTCTAGTGACTAGATGTGTGAGGTCTGCAGTAGGGTATATGTATTATAAAGGACAGAGAAGACAGATGCTGAGAAAAGAGCTGCAATTTTCTGTTTCAGAATGTGCTGCGGTAAGAGGCCATTAACTCAGACTTTCTTTTGTCATTTTGTCTGTTCACACTTTGTAGCTTATTCATGTCCACTCGCTGTACTCCCAGATGAGAGCCGTGGCAGAGTACAAGTCTGGCAAGATTTTGTCTATGCCAACCACCTTCAACACTGTGACATTCTACATCAAGAGTGGAGGCAAGCCTGGTGAGCAAAATAGAAAAGCGGTAGCAACAGATGGTAAGGCTGTCCAGACATCATTAGCTATTTCTGTTTCCCTCCAGCACAGGGTTTGGTTTTGCTCTTAGGTCTTATTCTTATCTCAGTTTGTATTCTTCAGCTAATTCCTTCTCTCTTTATACAGCGTTCAGATACCTGTAGAGTCACTCTACCTGTCAAGCTGCTAAAAATCCATTTTGAAAACAAGCCGGCATGCTTAGGTGTTTCCTACTTGAAAGGATGAAGCACACTTGCTTTTCATTGAACTTTTCTATTCACCTCTCAGCTTGATCTGCTTTACCTATTTACACTTTAAGAGTTTCTCTTTTTTTCTGTGAGACTGCTCAGCATTTTGTCAACTAACACATCCCTGCTGTCACGGATGTCAAAAGGGACGAACCGTGAGGTGGGAGGAGAGCAGAAAAAGACCCATGTGCGTAGCGGCTGAACGGGGGATTTGCCCGGGCTCAGGAGCCATGTAGAAACCAATGCCCTCAGGCAGCGGACATGGGGCGACCTGGATGCTAGGCGGGTCTCAGGACATCCTAACGTCAATGCTGAGCGAAGGTGAATCCGAGACCCGGAAATATATAGACCCAGAGAGAGAGACACCGGAAGGACAGCAAAGCACAGGAAACTTGGGACAGGACAGAGTAGGAGCACCCTCTGGCTGCAGAGGGCATGACACCCGCTCTGTGTGCAGTTCCCAGGTATCTGTCATGTCGTGTCTTCCCTGGCTTCCTGCACTATTAAACAGTTATTTTTTGCTGCAGATGGTCCCTACACTCTTCAGGCAATCCTGGAGACATTTCCTTTGCCTGTCAGTGTCCAGCCCACAACAGTGCTCAGCTTGAACACCAAAAACCTGCAGTCCTCTGACCAGAAGCTGGACAGCCTGACTATTACTCAGACCTACCAGGAGATGTTCTTACTGGGGTACTCCATCAGTAGCACAGGTCAGTAACCCCACCACCTGTCGAAATTAGCCTTCTGACTTTTGTCTCCCAGCTCACCAAAGCGGTCAACGTCTGAAACAAATATACTAAAGAAATCCCATGCATTTTGTAGAGCTTTAACATCCTGGTTGTGTCTGTCCGTGTAGGTTACTTTGGTGCTAATCAATTAAAAACGCTGTTTTTAATACAAAAGTATTCAAGTCTACAGAGGTGGTACAGTGGTGGTAGCTTTAAGTTTCTGAGTGCAATTCTGTCCCGGTGTGTCATCTGTGTGGATTTTCTCCAAATCTGTGTGAGTTTTCTCCAGCTTCTTTCCACTTCCCACAGACATTCTGGCTGGATAAACTGGTGTCTCTAAATAGTCCATGTGTGTTTGCCATGTCTTGGACTGGTGTCCTGTCCAGGATGTAGTTACTGTACATCTTAAGCCTTATGCTGTCAGGATAGGTTCTGGCTTGGTACATCTCATGAGAAAAAAGTAGTTTTTTGATGTGACTGGGTGAATGTATCAAATTCTACAGCAAAGCAACAGCGTAGTTGATTGTTTATTAATAATTAACCACTTAACAGCCTGTTTACTTCAAGCTTTGATTTAAAGTATATAATGCCCTAAGATTTAAGGTATCGCCCATGTTTCATTCTATCACTATGTAAGTGTCACGGATGTCGGAAGGGACGAACCGTGGAATGGCAGGAGATCAAAAAGACCCTATGCGAAGTGACAAGACAGGGGTTAGCCCGGGCTCAGCTGTTCAGGAAATGCCGTATAGAAACCTATGCCCTCAGGTAGCGGACGTGGGGCGACCTGGTGCTAGGCAGGTCTCAGGACACCCGAACATCAATGCTGAGCCAAGACAAGTGAAAGAGCCAGAAATATATAGCCCCAGAGAGAGAGAAACACCGGAAGGAGAGGAAAGCATAGGAAACTAGGGACAGGACAGAGTAGGAGCACCCTCTGGCTGCAGAGGGCATGACACAGAGGGTGTGACAGTAAGTTTAAACCAAGAGAATGGTTGAGGTGGAGAACTCCAATGACTTTAATGATTCTTTCACAGTTAAATGCAATTTAGCTTAAAAGGGGAACAGAAAATGATTTTCGGCACTGGAGATTGGAGACTCTGTGCGGTGTTAAGGATCTGTGTGTTGTTCAGGGACTCTGATGGTACAGGTGCCAATGGTGTTGCCCATGTACATGAAGGATGTGAGGCTTGCCCTGGCAGAGGGGCTGGAAGGGCAGAGCCAGGAGCAGTGGGATACCATCTGCACAGCACACAGCAACCTTATCAAAGAGCTGGGTCACATGGATCACTTCATCTTCCAAGGTACCAGGGCCAATTCAGAGCCATCCTCCTTCAGCACATCTAAGCCACCCTTATCTGGAGCTCTTACATTAGTCCATAAACAAAAATGAAAAGGTTGTCTATAAAAAGTAATTTTAGTGCAAACTTTCTACTCACTATGGTATTGCTTGAGATTATGCCGCTGTCCATAGTTCCACTACATAATCAACATGATTTTATTTTAAACCTATTGTTGTTATTATTAATATTATATTAATAATGAAATAATATTAGTCCAGAACCCTAACCACTCTGCAACGCCAATCCAGGTTTTATCTTTGCCATGTCTTCAGTGTTTGTGAACTATGTGTAACAATTATTTAATTTGTCATGGAGTACATTTCACAAATGACACTAGTAATCCAAGGCAGACTGTACTTTTTCAAGTATGTAAGTTAATATGAAATGAGGGACTACAAAGAATAAACATTATACATTAGTGTGCTGCTGACACCTTAAGATTTAAAATAGAGTAGAAATGTTTGCGTTATTGAATGCACAGCCAGTGAACGTTTTGTTACCTAGAAATCCCTTTTGATTTGTTTTATTTGTTTATCACATGTCTTTCTGCAGATATTACCCTACTGGATAAGAGTGCACTGAGCAATCATGGCAGTGTGTATGCAGAGCTGGAGCCTATCTACATGAGTATCCAGAAGGAGGGAGCTGAGATCGCTCTCTACCAATGCCTGGGGGATTCAACCCCAGAGAACAGCAGCATAAAGGAGAAACCCCCTCCTCTCCCCTCTGGGCCTGGCCTCCCACCCCCTCTTCCTCAGAAAGATACAGAGGTCCAAGTCCCACTTCCCACTACTTTTCAGACCCTGGCAGAGGTGCCCACAGACCTGCACGGGCTAAGCGTGGCAGAGGTCTGTGACTGTCTCCAGCTGTTAAACCTGGGCCAGTATGCCGAGGCCTTCCAGCATGAACAGGTGGATGGGAGCTTCCTGTACATGCTGGAGCCAGACATGATGAGCGACGTTATGGGCATGAAAAGTCTGCACATTGCTAAGCTGCTGCACTTCCGTGTGGGCTGGAGGCCCAAGGAGGAAGCGGCTTCCATATAGATTTTCCACCTGCTTTCAGGCTGGAGGTGATGCTGACACAGCAGACTGCTCACTCTGCCCTGGACAGAATTTCACATTCTTTACACTTAAGGTTAGGAAGGGGAATCTGGCTGTAATCGCAGACATTTTTCTTTTTGAGCCTCAAAATAACCCATGGTTGTATTAGTTCGGATTGCTCGGATGTCCAGGCTTGTAGTAAAATTTCAGTCTTTGCAGTAATGGGATATGCTAGGTGTTTTCAACCATAGCCACAATCACCGCTGAGGGTCTTAAGGATGGGATTGGCGAGCAAAAATTTCAGAACCTTGTGGAATACACTCCATATCCCATTCAATCATTATTTATTCAGTGAGGATTCCTTCTATTTTGATCAGTGATTGTGAGATTTATTCACCACTGCAATGTTTGTGTCTTGTACTCTATTGCTGAAACTGGAGCTTTTGATTTACACTACAATTTAATAACCTATGCCCTGTTCTTTATTATTTTATTATGTTAAAGTACTGCGTTATATTTTATATATACTCTGTTTTTTTTTCATTTTGTAAAATGATTTGGTTGTTTTGACTGAAATCACCTTGGTTACATTCATGAGCTTAATGAGTCAATAATGTTAATACTGTTATGTTATACACAATCATGGTAAAGATACTCATATTGGTCATTTTATGGCTGCTGAACATTCTGATCATTGCAGGTGTGTTTTTTTTGTCCTGGCCTGGACAAAGGGGAACTGGGGGTAGCTGTTAGGCTGACTATAGACACTGAACCTTTCTTGGAGTTAGAGTTATGAACAGGCTGAGAGTTGTATTAATGGTGTCCTAACCTAATGTTAATGTAATGAAATCATGAGCTACAAGGAAAACGACAGGCCACTTGATACGTCAGAGCTTTGGTCATCTTATACTCTTTCTTTACTCTCTTCTGATAAAATTATCATCACCCGGAGTGAGTGCGATCTTAGAGTGACCAGATCTCCAACCTTTCCTTGTTGATGCATTTATTCCATTTATTGGTTATAGAGAGAAAGGTTTTTCACCAATTTTTATTGAACAGATGTTTCCTGAATATCATAAAAGATAAAAGGATCTGCCTTTCAGCTGGCAAATTTGTGTCTGATTTGGATGTGGTTGGTATCTGTTTGTCACCCAGAGACCCAGGTGACAAATGCTTGATTCTGTTAAAGGCTAGGCATAGGTACTGATGTCACTGTAAATTTTTAAACAATAACTGTCTTGTTTTGTCCTTTATTTTTTTGGAAGATAAATACAGTAGATGCTTGCACTATGACCAAGCATTTTCAGACTAGTGGGGTGTTTTATGATTTAACTTTAATGTTCTTAAGACAGGGTGGTGTCAGGACCTGATTGTTTGAATTTACATTACACAGTCCCATTCTGGGGCAACATTAGGTTAAAGCATGAGCTGCCATTTACACGTTGGTAATCAGAAAATGGTACAAAGATGCAGAAGACTGCTACAATGCGGTCGTCGGGGTTCACATTTACCTTAAGTTCCTTCCCCTACTATATTTAGATAGATTATTTCAAAGTATAATTGTGTCAATTCAGTTCAATAGAACATTATTGGCACTGAGCTAAACCCCTCTCCACTGTCTGTGTCTCCCCGTGAGAGCCAGAATTCAATCCGCTGAAAGATGGCAAAGCTAAGACCACCCCTGCATCTGTATGCCTTGAGGCAACCAACCCAGAGGTAGAGCACTGTACAATGTGTCCTTTAGGTTTTTTAGCCTTGGTTGACTCTCGAGGTGCCCTATGTGCGTCATAGTGAGGTAATTAGAGGTCTCTAAAAACCATCTCTGCCACCACTGCCAACCTTCTGCTCTGCTATCCTACACAGTTTTATTTGTTCTGATGCAGCACATGGTTATTGCTTTAATTGCACTGCATGGATATCATGTCAGTTCAACAATAACCTTTGTCATATTGCTAAAAATGATCACCCCAACCCATTGCCTCCTGCCACAGCCCCTCCACCCTCCTCCACCCCCTTTCCCTCTGTTTGCTGTTAGGTTATTTTAATATCACGTTACGCTTTATTCCAAAGTTCAGGGCTCTCCAGACAGGCTATGCTGAGTTAATGCGACGAGAAGGATTGTTTACAGCCTTTGTTCTGCAGCTGCTCAAAAACAAAACCAAAACACAAGAAGAGCTTTTCGCAATAAGTAAAGAAAGGTAAATAAAGACAAAACATCCGTGACCGAGACAGACAGCTGCAGCTTTTGAATTCCTTTCATTGTGAAAAAAATACATTTTCAGTGCATATCTTAAAGTATAAGCTTTGTCCTGCCTATACAAATATGCATTTCCTATCTGTTTTAGCTCTAAAAATGTTGTTGGGCTCCAGATCTGCACAGATTCTCATCTTAAGCCACTGTGACAAACAGAAGTCTTAAACATTAAGTCTTTTAATTTCTGCTGTGTTTGCTGTAAGTCCCCAGAGCCTTAGCTTACTGTAGACCACTCTGGTGGTTTCCTCACCTGCACCCATTTGCCACTGTCATCTTCATTGTCACTCGACATTTAACTGTGGCACGTTCACCCTTATGACAGCTACATTAACTAGATTCTCAATATAACAATGTAACCAAACAGTTAAACTTCCTTCTTGTGGCTTGAGCAAAAGCCTGTAAAGTAGTGCTAGACTAAAAGTGAATTGGGCAGTTTCTGCCTCGCTGGAACTCTGTGCAGATGGTACATCGTCATGAATTTAATAAGAAAGGAAATTATGCTGACATTTCCATAAACTCTGCTTATTGTCTTTATTCGGGGAAACAGGAAAATGAACTTAATGAGCATTGAGAACAGCATATTTGCAGGATTATTAAAAACAAACAGTTTCAGATTCTGATTGTCTTCGATGCTACCCACCAGAGAGGTGGGATTTAATTATTGAAATGTCATCCACCGACTTTAGAGATGTGTTGTGACTGAGCTGGAGGAGAACCAAAAGAATATTGCAAGTGCATTAGACAAAAAAGCCAACAAGCAGATATGACGTATTTGTCAGGTCTGCCTAATAAGAGTTATTTTGGGCTGTGCTATTTACCTTTGCCTGCTAAAAGGCTGAGCCATGTGCTAAGGTTGTACGCCACTGACAGTCACAATAATTAGTGACATTTGTGGCTTCAGTTCTGATACATGTGTTTTCATATAATGGCCACTCCTTGCTGAATGAATACCTAAGAATAATTGTATTGAGCTGTAGATTGTCTTTCATAGACGTATGAATAGAACATACTCCCCCTAACGGGCAGAGGTCCAGTTTTATAATGAGTGTCTGTATTCTGATTTCATTCTTACCATTGAACACATGAAAGCTTCTTGTCAGGTAAACAGATGCTTCAAACACTTTTCACTGATCCCCAATACCAATATCTAAGGATAAAAAAAATATTCATCTAAACAATCAACTGAAAAAAAACAACTCCTGGTGGTGGAAAAAAAGCATTCTAAAGATTACAGCCCCTCAGGAAAATGAGGAAGTTGGAGTTTGTTTGTATCTGCTGTAAACAATGCTGGACAGTTAAATGTATTCAGACAGGAGGGAAAACATCCTGGAGAATCCATCATAAAATGTTAGTTTAAGACTCTCTTACAGAACTATTGAAATATTATGTATTCTGCCCATGGTGTTCTGTAAATACTCAGTTTTTTCAAAGACTAAAAAGTATGCTTTTTTTCCAGACAAAAGGAATTTCAGTCCTGCTAAACATGTCTAATAGCTTCTCTTGGGAATATGATCACTTTTTATGTTTTGTTCAGAAAACCCTATATACCGTATAATAACTAATAAATTATTGAGATGTAGTAAATGATTCTCATTAAAACCACTTTAATGACTGTCATTCTTCACCGGTCGAATTCTTCCTCTGAGGGCTGATATGGTTTTACTACCCCTGCGCAGTGCCATGCCAGTCGATGTACGGAGGTTATTATGCTTGTGTTAATGTGGGGTGGCTGTCCCCAGAGGTCACTACCAGCTATCTGGGATATATGAGGAAATACCCCTTTCGTGAAGCCCTCTGTAAACTTGTTGTAGGAGTGCATAATTATGTTAAACATTATGTTGTTCATTCTTCTATCAATTCCCCAAAGCAAGATTAATAAGGTCATTTTGTGCTCTCAGAGGGTGACAGGACAGCTGTTTTCTCTGTCCATGTAACATTGTAATTCTGTGGCACAGATGTCCTGCCTGTATATGCACATGCAAGGCACAAAGTGTCAACTTTCACTTAGAGCTTTGAAATATAGTTACCAGTCGTCCACTGAAGGGAAGTTATTTGTACTGAAGACCAAAGGATGGTAATTACATTTTTATATTGTGTTATTGTAATAAGAAAACAGCTTGTCTGTACAATCTGAGACTGCAGCAAATACCAAGCTGTAAATGCCTTTAAAGGGATCACTTATAGAGAAAAGGATATCTTGCCTTCTTACAAGCAAGACATCTTGACAAGCTCATTGCTGACTTTCAATCCAAGTCCCATGCCTTCCTAATCGGATCCACGCCCAACCAACCGTTATTGTTATTATGGCTGTGTTTGATCATTTTGTTTTAAAGCAGTGAACTGCATTAATGTGTGCAATGTAACATCAAAGGAGTATATTGACGTCCCATGGAAGTGAATAGAAACCTGACGTTAGTGTTGTCCCTTTGCTTGTATCCATGTATGGTTTGGAAGAGCTTGTATTTGCTAATAAATCACTGAAGAAACAGTACAGTATGTCTCCTTTCAGAAACAGGTACTGTATAAATAAAAGTGGAAGCTCCAACTTGCCCTTCAATAGCATGACATCTTGTGACCAATTTTACTTACAGTAGCAAGAATACATCATGTATTTTTTCTTTTTAAAGATACTGTATGAAGGGCTTATCATAAGTATAATAGCTCTTACAGCAGAGATATAAAATAATAGCCCCAAACTTAACTGGATGAAGGAAAATAACTTACAGCAAACCACTTATTGTGTTTTCGATACTTCAAAGAACAGGATACATTTCAAGGATTTCACATTATAAATGCAATTAATTGGGCAAAAATGTAGCTGCTCAGCAAATCGTACTTTGGCACTAAACCTCTTTCTGACACTACTCTCAGCGCCTGATTACTGAAATCTCTTCACTTTACCGCAGCTGTTCATTTCAAACTCTTCCAAAAAAGTAATAGACTGTGATTCAGCATCTTCTTTTCAGAAGGTGTTAAACTGCTTAAAGCACTATCCGCTATTGCTGGTTAAAAATAGTAAGCCTTTCCAAAAACTGAAACTACAGTGGGGCGGACAAGAATCCCAAAGTTTGGTGAGTAAGCAGAGAGCACCTTATAGTGCATCAGCCAAGTGAGCTGTAAAATACACTTATCTTTTAAATAGAACCTGCCACAGTAAACAGAAATAGCTCCCTGACTCAACAGCAAGCTATAAAAGCTTTGAAACTTCAGTTTTTAGTATTTGACATGTGATTCCATTTAACTTATTTTCTTCTCAAATGTTTGAGTGCCTTTTTTTCATCCCACCTGTTAAACAAAATTAGGGGAGGGAGGCTGGAGATTGATGGGTGTCCTTCAGCCATTCCATCCATCTCACATTCTGATTCCAGAACAATGGAGTTTACAGTAACTTTGAGTCTGCTTGATTTTGTCAGGTTTGTCAAATCCAGATGACATT